TTTTTAATATGAGCTCTCATTTTAGTTTTTTATTAATTTTTCCTTGAATAAAAAACATGCATACACATATACAATGTCAACAACTTCCTTATTAAGTAGACAAATTATGACCACAATAAAAGAAATTTGCAATTAATATTTTACGCCCATAATAGTAACATACATATATATATCGAAAGTACATATAACAAATGTAAGTACATTGCTATTATATGTAAAAAAAATATAAGTACAATGCTATTATGGGTTCAAAATTTAAATAAGATCCCTATATTTGTACAAAAACTTACATTTTGTTGCTATTTTATGTAGTTTGCCTTCTTATTTGGTTGGTGCAAATCAACCATAAGCTACACGTTTTTAGACAAATAAATAAAGCTTGACTGATACTTACACAGGCACATACTCCTGTAGTTTACCAAGGCGTCACTCATGGTTGTCTACTGCCTATCAGGACCTACAAATGACAAGATATTGCTGATATGTAACACATGGAAAGGGTGAACCCTAAACCTCAAATGGAAAATATCTTTTTCATTCACCTATTTTCATCAATATATCATAATCATATGATATCTGAGCCCGATAACAATTTTGATCTTAGACATAATCACAAATCTATACCTTGAGTTAATGATTTACACATTTTATAGTGAATCAACTAAATTTAAGAACTTACTTTGTTGGGATGTCTTCTTGCTTCCTCAAAATCCCCTGCCTCCATGTAAGTCGTTCCCTGTATATAAAGTGTTTTCTCATTAACATGATTTGCATATATTACCTGCATAAATAGAGTCATGGATCACCCACAGCATGATCACCAATCAAAAATTTAACTGAATCCTAATTAATGTATTGTGACAGTGGATGAATAAATAAGAATAAGGATTACTATATAAAAAGTAACTAAAAATACAACACCAATGGTTAGGTTAAAAACTATGACTGAAAAAATAAATTACATAACTTAATCAAATTAAAAAGGAATGCTTATTACAAACGTAATTTTGTAATTTTGATATTAAAATGGAACAACTAAAGGCAAGTTTGATCGATTATAAATCGAACTAAGCATTCACTATAATAGAGTATCAAAAATAAGAAAAAATGATTCGACTAACTGATACCCCAAATTAGAAAGGAAAAAAATCATTTAGTGTACCAGGGCACAAACTTGAAATGTAAAAGAGATTAATAAGCTTGAATATTGCAATACCAAAAAGAAGAAACTGAACAAACCTGCATAGCAGTGATGAAGTCTTTACAACCTAAAAATCTTAGATGCTTGGAATCTGCAATTGTCGAAGGGGGAAGGTAGAATTAGAAAACCTAAATCTCAAACCTCATGATTTCCGTAGACAAAAAATAAGGATTACCAACAACCAACAATCAAAATCTTAAGTGAGAGTGGTAAAATAAGAAAAACGATTAAAAGAATGATGAAGGGGAGAGATGATGGTGGTGTACATGACCGACGTAAAGCTTTGTTGAAAGAGAGAGATTTTTGAAATTGGAATGTTTCATGTATACCCTAATAACATTCCATGTATAATTTCATGAGAAAAACTGATTCGGCTTCTCATCCTTAGTAGTCTATGTTATAGAGAGAAACCGGGAGATAAAAAAGGAAGAAATAAATTGATTTTGTTGATGATTTATTGCTGATTTACAGGGATTTCCGTTTTGAACTTTGAATTTGATTTTAGGGTGGAGAGGAGGAAACATAATAGAAGGGGGCAGAAGCAGTTGTTAAGATAGGGAAGGGCAATTTCGGTGTTTCAGTTTGCTAAGAAGAGCTGCTAAGAAGAGCGGGAAAAATAGATTTTGGAGGCTTAACGTGGCAATGAAAGTACTTATTTATTAGGATAGGATATATATATATATATATATATATATATATAATATATATATATATATATATATATATATATATATATTAAAGTTATGAAAAGTTTTAACAGTAAAGTGACATTTTTTTGTCAATTTTGGTCCTCCAACTTACAACATTGACCCTTCATTTTTATACTTTTGTTCACAAACAACCCTTTCACTTTGGTTTGAATTTTTCATAACCCTCGTCTTTTATTACATATTATTAGTATTTAGTCTTTTGGCAGAAATGGTCCCTCATCATTATTATTATTATTGTTAGACAAAATTGCACGATTGGTCATGTGGTTTACCAAATTTAACATTCTCTTTTTGGTTTTAAATTAATGTTTTATTTATTAGAAAATATCCACCCAATACCATAAACCCACCCACCATCTGCCATCACCACCACCCACCACCCGCCAAAATTACATAAATGGTCCATATGGTTTACCCATGGTGACAAATTCAGTCCTTACTACCTGAAAAGACCAAATTACCCTCACATTAACGGACAAAAAGCAACCAACATGCTACTTTACTTTACAAAGCAATACCTTCCGACCCCGGCAACGCTAGGGAATCTTTTCTAGTATATATATATATATATATATATATATATATATATATATATATATATATATATATATCTATAGAGAGAGAGAGAGAGAGAAGAATGCTAATGTTTTATAGTGTCAACAAATAATTTTTTTTTATTTGGATGTAATGTTCCATTTCATTTCTTCTTTTTTACTATTCAAACGCTACAATAATACCACTAAACCAGATATTATGTAGTTATTTTGCTAAAACTCATTGGATCAGCTTTTTTAATGTGGTCGAAGCTACTGGGTTAGGGACGATAAAATGCAAAGAAACTATATTTTAGAGACCATAAATGCAAATAAATGAATACGTAACTCTCAAGAGAGCACATAAAATAAGTTTTTAATCTGGTCGATTTTATTAGTAAAGAACGAAATGCGAACAAGAGAGCACATAAGAAGAATCTAATAAGATGTATGATGATGGAGACTTGATTCCACTCCCACTAATTAGAAAATCTTTTCTTCTCATGATTGTATTCACATGAAGTCCCACCCAAATTTGCTCTTTTCTTTCCTTGTCCCTTCCTAGTTCCTACCATGTGCTAATTTCCTCAATCAATCTAACCTTAATGTTTTATCATTTTTATTGACAAATTATTGCATTTGTACTTTTATTATAAATTAATCACTCTACTTTGCAATGATAATAATTAAACATATTATTTAATTACAAATGGACGTTTACATACAAATTGGAATTGTATGTCTACATGCATCTAGATTTTTTTTTGTTTACAACTGTTTCTTCAAAATATAATCAAAATCTTTAAAATACAAAAATATTTATATTCTTAAGAGATTAACCATTAAACAATTTTGAGTTCTTATTGTTATTAAACTATATATATATATATATATATATATATATATATATATATATATATATATATATATATATACGAACATGATATTGTTTATACAAACATATTATAGTTTTTTAATCTTTTAATATATAATGGTTAGTTTACATAATACGACAAGTATAACAAATTAACAATTAGAAAGATGGTGTGTGCTTTGTTCTAATCATGGCTCTTTGTGACCTACTTTTGTGGGAGCATGAATTTGGGTTGAATATGTTGTTGTTTGTGTTGCTTTAGGCTAAAATCGAATCAAAAACTATATGTATCATTTTTAGTAATTGTAGCGTCCCAAAAATACCGAGTCAAAATTTCATTTATAATAAGTCAAAATCATTCATATATTATCCCAAAAGACGATTAGAGTAAAAGTATTTTCAAAACATTAGAGTAAAATCATAAATAATCATTGCGAAATAAATCTTCAGGGGATGCAGTGTGATCAAGCCGTGCTCTTCTTTATAAAACTGAAAGTACCTGAAAATGTTTAAACCACAAAACCGTAAGCACAATGAGTTCTCCAAAATACCACATATCATACATACATACATACATCGGGCCCCGTTCGGTACATTCATTAGGCCCCGCCTGGTACATTCATCAGGCTCCGCTCGGTATACATACAACACATGCAAGAGTCACACAGACAGCTAGCATACTAATAACCATAATCCATGGGTCAGCATAGGTGCCTTCGACCCGCTAAACACTGGAGGAGACTCACCTCTCAGTATGAACAAACAGTTGAATAGGTCACGACTCCGAATATCAGCTCTGCCCGTCACCTCAGCAACAGAACAGTCAACCCAAGCTTCCTAAAGCCAAACCAAGATAAATCCTTAGTCAAATGCTCAATTATACTCAAGTTTGACGAAAAGTCAAACTGGTCAAAAAAATCAACGATCAACGATCAACATTTACTTGCCACGTCGTGGTGGTCCTTCACCACGTCGTAGTCCCTAAAGGACAAAACAGATGATCTGAACCACTGTCGCCACGACGTGATGACCTGACACCACGTCGTGGAAATGGGGTTCCAAACAACTTAAATGATTAAGTTGTTTCCTACAACCTCTCGAGCTACAAAGCTCAGATCTCACTCAAAACATGATCTAGAGGGACAAAGTTTCTATCTTTACCCCTAAGGACCATCCAAAAGGTCCAAACTCAAACCATAGGTCCAAAATAAAGCCAAAACCACAATGTCTTAACCAATAAGTCCTCAATTTGAAAACTTCTTAACCCAACCACTCTAGAAGGGTTTTAGAATACCAGGTCTATCATAAAGGTGGAAGCTTTATATACATGCATACCCAAAACATGTCTAGAACCCAAATTAGGTCAAAATGGGTAAAAAGGTGACCAAAACTCATGCATGAATGTCAAAACACAACCAAATCTCAAATCCATGAGATATAATATTCTTGGGACCCTTAATAGTCACAAAGTTGCAAAATTTATCCCTTTTATCTTGCCAAATACAACCAAGAGTCCAAAATGTGCTAAAACTCTAGATCTATGAAGATAAAACCAACAAGAATGGAACTAGAAAAGCTCACCAAAGGTCCAGAGAGTGAACACAAGGAGTGGAGAATGAATTACTTTCATGTCAAAATAAACTCATCAAAATATAAAGTTCACAAAAACATGATGATGAAAACCCAACATGTCCAAATGGTATCATAACTAAAGATACTAAATTATACTACCCAAAGATTCCCATCCTCACCAAGGCATCATGTCAAGCTACCTGTTCCATTCCACAGAAACCAACAAGCAAAGAACAAGTGTTAGCATAAGCTAAGTGAGTCAATATAGTACATTGTTAAGAGAACACTCATATCATAGATGGATTCACACAAAACATCCACACACAGTCATTGACTCACTAGCAAGACATACAACATCACACCACATAACAAACACATGTTTAGCTCAATTTATTTTAGTTCTTCAGTTAGAGCTTGTTTTATTAGTACTTTCCTCAACGCCGTTGTAACTAATTTAATCTCACCGCTTAAATATTAATATATAATATTTTGTTTCTCCGCTTTACATTAATAATCACTCACCGCTCATCGTTGTAATTATTAAAGTATTACCTCCTAGTTAGGGTCTATTTATTCACCGCAAAAACCTCCCCAAAGCTAGACCCCGTTCGCTACTAACGTGACCGGCACGACCCAATGCACTAAGTGAGGCGCGACTCTCACCCGTAATCATTGCCCCCGGCGCGCTGCGTTCGCTACTCCGACGGTGCACATACGTATACATGCGTTGTCGTTCAGGATTGGTACGAGCGGTGCCAATACCAACAGATACACCTCCCAAATCCCACGTGATGTTTGCGCTGGTCCCACCCCTTGACCAACATCACTCCAGTCCCGGTATACCAAGGTGTACTAAGACCATGTCCCGAGTGGTTGTCTAGAAAAGCCAGTCGGCGTCAAAGTTGGCTTAAGCGCTTTTTCCTTAGGTATCTTTCAACCCACTAGGCCATCATAATATCCGGATTGGGTATTTACCTATGTCTAGGTTTCTACCCTTCGCCCCACTAGTGTGTTCCCCGTTTTAATTTAATAATGATTAATTAAATAAGGAGTTACACTTTTACCCTTTCAAGTAATCATGTAAATATTATGAATTTTCTCTTATTAACATATTACCTCTTTAAGGGTTATTTTCATGCAAACATCTAATTTCATGAAGTTATTACACACTACTTCCATACACAACACATCAATGAAGTTAATACAACACTAGCATGCTTGTCCTAAAACATTTTAAACAAATATTTTCAAACAAGAATTAACATGCTCATATCACATAATGTTTATACACTTCACTCAATCTAGCATGACCCTAACTCACATCTCACATCAAACAAGGAAGAGTCTAGCATGCAACACCCTAGATGTCATTACACATAAAACATTTCAACAATAATGGCATAACAATCAATCATCAAAAGGGCACATGCATCCTAGATAACTAGGTTCATCCCAATCAATCTAAGATATGGGATACTCCTAACAATGTACTTTTAAAACCACAAAGTTGACTCACCTTTGCCAAAAATATGACCAACTCACACTTCAAATATTGTATTGGTTGAAGTATCACCCTTGCCCCTATTACATTTCAAATAACAAGGTTATTGGAGTTCTACAATGCCAAAGATGACAAGTTTATAAGCCAAACACATAAATCAACTAGCAAGTAAAATTCCCAGTTTTGAACCCAAAACAGCCACCTGTTTAGAGCTAGTTTAGCAACCTTATAACCTGTATAACTTTCGTTTTTATTTAATATTACATAATTTAAGACTTTTAGCTTTTCAGAATGTAGTTTTGAAGGTCCAAACGATTTTTCTACAATTTTATATGATTTTTACAAATCTGCCTATCAATGCAGCTAAATTCTGACCAGCTGGTGAAAAAGGCGATTTTCACCTAAGTTAGAAGCAACAACAGGTTCTGGAAAAATTCATGGATAAACTAGACTCAAAATGGAAACTTTGAGAGTTTACAGATCATTAATTAGATTCCTGGTTATTTTTCTATAATATTTCCAATACAGGGACAGATTGGTAATTTTTGCTGAATTTTCCAGCTTGGGGTTTTAAAGACTTTTTGACCACTTAACCCATTAAGCCATCACCCAAATCGACCAAATAGCTTAAAATCAAATCCAAAACAGTAGCAATGTGTCATGGATGTAAAAAGATAGTTTCACCCTCCAACCTTGGTCTAAAATACATTGTCTTTAAAGGAAAGACAACATATGATGTTAAAAAAAGAAAACCAACCTGGGTTTGAACTTCTCCCACTAAATGACATATTTAAATATACTTGAAAGCTATTTTCATGATCTTATGAAGAGTCCAAAACATAAACATTCACCAAAAATTCCTTCATGAATAGGAGATAACAAAAACGTGAATTTTGACAATCAACAAAAGAGTAATTCAAGGACATATCCAAATCATTCTTGAGTGTGTTCATAACATGATTTGGGCATCAACGAATCATCAAAACACACTCAATGAGAATGGAATTAGCCAATAGAACATTGAAAAATTTCAAGGAAGAAGAAAGAATGAACAATAACATCAAAGAAAGAAAAATTGACAATGCAATTCACCAACTATCATCAATTGGTTAATGAATTTCACAAGAAGGGAATTAGAGGCTTACCAATGATGATTCCTAGACCCAAAATTGATCCAAAATCGCAGCTCTCTACCCCCTCTCTTCTAGGTTCGTCGCTGCCTCCTCCTCCCAATACACACGATCGTTTTTTTCTTCCTTGTTGCTTGCGTCGCACACTCACCCTATCAAGAGAGGGTTCGGTTTCTTTTTTTTTTTTGTTCTTGGATTGAGATCGATCGAAGTACACCATGAAGTAGTAGTTGCCGATCATTTTTTTTTAATACCCATAAAGACTCGTAAAGAAACGGACGAAGGAAACAAACGACATGGGGGTTAGGAGGCTTTAATTGATTCCATCGTTTGTATTTGGCTTTTAAAGAACAAGTTACAACTTTAGCCCTCTATTTATGGTCCTTTGTTCATAATCAACCTTCTATTTTTGTTTGAATTATTTCTAACCCTTACTTATAATTAGAATTATATAGTTTGCCACATTATCAACTTAAACCCTCCAACTATGATTAATTTAATTATATTATATACCTCTTAATAATTGCTTGATTCTTTTAAATTTTAACTAATTCTCTTAGATCTTAATTAACATCATTTTTACTCACTTTATTTTAACTTATTATCATAAAAACTAAAAATCATTTACAATAATCATTATTCGAGTAACGGAAGCTAACGTCGTTTACGGTAGGATTTTCGGGTCGTTACACTAGCTACTACTTCCTTTAAATATGGCTCATAGTCCGGAAATTAGGGTTTTGCTCAAACAGCCGCCGCCACGTCGTGGGTGCCCTATAGACACACCGTGGGAGGCACTAATGATATGCATGTTTCTTAGACGTTGCCACGCCGTGGCGATCCATTCATCACATCGTGTTCAACCAGAAAAATGAAAATAACTTCATAATTAACATACGATAAACCGGGTGTTACAGTAATCTTAAAATCGTAATGTGTAGTTTTTTGAGTGGTACGGTTTTACAGTTATTTCAACGATCCAGTTTCAAATGGTGCAGTTTTGATTTTAATTCTCACAATGAAATGGTGTGCCTTTAAAACCGCACATGATCACCCAAAGGTCTTGCAAAACATAGACCAGAGACATCAACCGGTTTCGAGAAAAAAAACCTTAATACCATTGCTCTGATTGAAACAATGGAAGCAAACATGATAAAAGAAAGAAATGAGCAAATCTAAATGGACAAGATTGACCAACCATTATAGCTTATTAATTGCATTGGAAAAAGACAAACGAACGTGTAGAGCCTCAAGTGTGAGGTGTAGGTGGTCTAGTCTCGTCGGTGAAGGTTGAATTGGATTAGTTGAAGTAGGAGGCTTGTGCGGTCTGGTCTCATTATCATAGAAGCAGGATTGTCGGGACGACGATATGTCTTTTGTGTTATCGGTATTGGAGGATCAGGGATGGTGGCATGGTAGGAGTCGCAACAACTTTGTTAACGTTAAGATTATGTTTCATCTTCGAATTGAAAATAATAATAATTGAATTATCCCACTTCAGTTTAGTTAAAGTCAAACTAATATCAATAACCAAATAATATTATAAATAAGATATGATTTATATAATTATTTAATGTTTTAATGTATATAGTTCTACTGGTGTGGTTCAGTTTTTGAAGGCCGATTTCTAAGGTAAAACTGCATTTAATCGAATTTGATCAAATTTTTCCAGATTAAAAACCGTACTGTCGGTTTTTATATGGGTTTCTCTTTTTCGATTTTGGTTTGCTATAATTTTTCTGAAATTTTTGTCGTTTTGTTTTTTCTCCACACCTAATATTAATATACATGTCATTGATTTAAAAAAAAGTGTGAGAGGTGAGATTAGGAATTGGGGTCTTTGTAATAAAGTTTTTAGTAATCGTAAAAGTAAAAGCTAATAACTTTTTGTCAGACCAGTTCCAGAGAGCGGGAAATAGGGGAGACCATCCATGGCCAATCTTTTAAAGGAGACCAGTTCCAGAGAGCGGGAAATAGGGGAGACCATCCATGGCCAATCTTTTAAAGGGGCCCAAATTTATTATTATTATTATTATTATTATTATTATTATTATAGGGTCAGGTTCAATAGAGAACCATAATTAAAAAGGAACCAAGAAACCAATTGTGAGCGTCGGAAATCATAATGATCAACAGCCAAGGAAATAGATGTACACTTGTACATTGGAAGCACACACACCGGATTATACCAAAAAATCCACCTTTTTACCAAAAAACTCACCTTTTTTTCATTTAATTTTTTTAGACCACATTTTTTATCGAAAAAAACCGAATATACCATTGTTCTCGATTTTTCGTCCTCTTCCCATAAAGATCTATGTTAATATATAAAAAACGAACTTTTTTTTCGAAAAAAACCCACTTTATTTTGTTAGTTTTTTCAATATTTAAGTTTATTTTTATTAAAAAAAACTAATTATACCAAAAATATTAATTTTTATACTATATTAAAAAAATCAACACAGACTAAAAAAAAAAGAAAAGAAAAAAAAAACTCGATTAGTGTAGATTTACGTTGTGAATCTAAACTGTAAATATTTCAATTTTTAACAATCAAAATTTGAAAAAGCTCGATCAGTTCAGATTCACATTGTGAATCTGACTTACTATTATGCACACTATGAATCTGAGAAAATTCACAATGTGAATATGAACAAGTTCACAATATGAATCTGAACAGGTTCACAATGTGAATCTGAACTGAAATATCGTTTTTTTTAACATGAATATGAATATATGTTTAAAAAGTACCAAAAAGTATGAATTTTGATATATTTATTAATTTTTTTTCTATAGAAAAATAAACCTTAACTTTTCAACAAAGAAAATGAAGTGAGTTTTTTCGAAAAAAAAAGTTCGCTTTTATATATCATCATGGATCTCTATGGAAAGATGACGAAAAATCATGAACAACGGTATATTCGGGTTTTTTTTTTCGATAAAAAAACATGGCCTAAAAAATTTAAATGAAAAAAAGGAAGTGATTTTGTTATAATCCGGTGCATGTGCGTCCATTCTAAAAGTCTACAACCCTTCTTTTTGCCGTTGATCGCTTTAAATTTCGACGCTTTGGATTGGTTCCTTGGTTCATTGATTATATATATATATATATATATATATATATATATATATATATATATATATATATATATATATATAATATATATAATATATATATATATATATTATATTATATAGGGGAGGGTTCTATGGAGAATGCATGATTAGGGCAACACATGCCGAAACCAATGAAAGCATGACAACACATCATTTTAGAGTAATATAACACCCAATTTTCACCCTTAAGTAGGATTTAATATAAACTGTTTATTTATAAAATTCGAAGTAAAAATATATTAATTTTTCGCCAAAATAATCATCATAAACTTGTAGTGGACGTCAATACCATTTCCATAGGTATATAGAACACTTAAATCTGACTACGTATGGAGTTATGATTGTTCGAAGTTTTGAGTTCAATCCTATACGACAAAGTGTGTCGTAAAAAGTGATTATGAGATATGTTGCTTATTAGCTAAAGTAATCCATACAAAAGTTGTAGTAGTCATAAAAGCGAAAGTGTACATCTAAAGAACGTCCAAATCTGAGTTCATATGAGGAGGTTGAGATTTTTTAAAGTCCAGCGTAATAGTGTGCGATACAGAAATCGAAATTAAGATCGGTTGAGTGTTTTCCAAAACAATATAAACGAGAGTTAAAGATCTCGTAAATTGAACCTGTCGATATAAAGACAGTCAAAAACAGAGTTTGTATGAAAGAATTAAGATTTCCTCACAAACTTTAACAGTCTAATTTCTATTAAAATGTGAATTAAAAATAGAGTGAAAATTAGCTTTTGAGACCTTAAGGAACGTTGTAGATCTCGTCCATAGTATTCTGGGGATATAAAGAACATCGAAAAGGGAACTCGTATGCAAAAGTTAAGGTCGTTTGAATATTTCAGGAAAATACTTGCTATGATGACGTGGCACCACCAGGAGGCGCCCCATGGATAAGAGAGCGCCTGACTCTTCTGCCAACCAAGTGATGTAGCACCATGAGATTTGGACACGTGGCACCACAGATTAAGCAACACGTGGCAAGAAATGGATGGGCCAGCACCATCAATAGGCGCGACACGCCCCTTGTATTCCTTATAAATAGTTGTTGATTTTCTCACAAAATTCAATCCCTTGTCTCTCAAACATTTTCCTTCCTTGAGACCGACTTTTTCCAGACTTCTGAGCATTTTAGTGGGGCTCTGAGATATCTAGAAGCCAGACGAAGAGGAGCTTTCTGGTCAAAGTACTGCCCGCGCAATTTCCCGGTTTTCTCTAGAAATTTTAGTAAGTTAAACTACGCTTGCTAGGCTTTCAGAGTAACTTATAATTATGTTTATAGCCTTTATTAAGAACCTATAAGTACCAGGTTAGTCATTAATTCCAATTAAATATCCTGATTGGTCTATTTATAGGAGAGGGGTCTAGAATGGGCATGTTGGCTTGGTTGTTGGATTTCAAAAAACTATATGCAGAAATGATCATGCCTCCCAACTGTCTTACCTGGCTGATGCTTATTTGATAGCCATGAAAGTATATTTTGAATTAGTGAAGGATCTAGCTTCTACCAGATTTCCATAGATATTAATAAATTATAATATTATAGGTTAATACTTGATAGACGCGTTAACTGCCAGTTGAATCGACAGAAGAATAATTGTTAATCGTCCGAGTATTGTCCTGGTGAGTTTTCTCAATATACTATATACTCCAGTATGTATCCTCTGTATGATAGGATATAGTTGCCATGAAGTATGCTATTAGGCAATTAAACCAACTTAGTTAGTTGCTTGTTGTGTGGAAATGTTTGTTTGCTAGATATGTATTGATAAATTATGTGGGAGTTGAGGGGGGACCAGCCTCATGCTGAAGGCCAAAAGACTTGGACATAGTAGCTTTATGTTGAAGGCCAAGGGGCGGATCAGCTTTATGTTGAAGGCCATTATGTGTTTTATTGGTGGATCGACAAAAGGTAGTGTAGTTAATCGTGTAGTGAATTGTATATGTATATGTATTATGGCATATGGTATTTTCGGGAACTCACTAATATTCGTGCTTATCCACTTGATTATAAATGTTTTTTAGGTACTTCCTCTGTTCATGAGAAGGGCAAGGCTCGACTGTACACAAGCACATTCGCATCATGTTTTCTGCACATTGTAGTTATACTCTGATATATTTGCATAAATAGAATGAAATTTTTGTTATGAAAATCGGGACGTTACAAGTTGGTATTAGAGCTC